TCGTTGGGAAGTATAGGGGACAAATGAGGAGGCGCCATTGGCCGCAGCAATGCCGACGTCGAGCGCGTGTTCTCACACATGAACGTCATGAAGTTGTGCTACCGAAACAGAATGAAGAATCCCATGTTGAGCGGCATCCTGCACGAACGTTATGGCCTCAAGTTTCGATGAGTCTACTGCCAGGACTTTCAACTGACCGCAAAGATGTTGCAGCTTTTCAACTCGAAAAACATGTATGGTTCAGCAGAAGTGGAGGCTGAGGATTTTCCAGATGAGTCGGACTCATCCGACGATGACTGTGTGTAGTTGAGGCGTTGATCATGCACTGGCATGATTAACATAATTAGTTGTTTTTTCTTTAATTTGCTTTCGTATTTGAGCAAGTTCTCTTTCTCATTTTATTATTAATAAACTATTTTCAAGAATGTGTACATCTATTGAACTGCCGCTTGTTTTGGGCTTCTTCACGAAGGTCACGCCGCTTTTTTGCGGCTTGGTTGGGGACGACTATTTGCGTGTTCGCTCAGCCGCATCTGGCCACCCTGTTGTGTGGGCCTTGGGTCAGTTGGAAACGTGGCTATTTGGGGCGGAGGTCAAAATTCGCACCGACCATAACCCTTGCAGTATTTGGCGTCAGCAGCACCAAATAGTGTGAGGCTGACTCGTTGGGTGCTAGCGTTGCAAAAATTTAACCCGAATGTATGGTACGTAAAAGGGATGAGAAATATCCCTGCTGATGCGTTGTCAAGGCTGTAGTCGGGTGGAGTTTTGTTTATGATTAATGTACCTTAGATGTTCTCAAGAAGTAGGTTTGTTAGTTTTTCTTGCGATCATTCACGCCGAATGGACGGGAATGTGTGCACAGTTCGCTTTTTTGTTCTAAATGCTACGATTGTAAAGGGATACACAAATTATGATTTTCTTTTAATTGGAAAAGAAAAAAAAAGGGGGGGGGCGTGTCATGTATATGCATAAGGCAGTGGATTCAGCACACGCCGTCGCAGACGGGTTATCGGGCTTTGTGAATGTTATCTTTCTGTTACCCGTGGTGTGCGTTGATTGCTGCGTCGAGAAAAGGCGAGGTGACGACGGAAGGAAGAATCAACGAGACGGGGAGTTTTTGGGCTGGAGCTGGTTCAAGCAAGACCTGGAACCCGAATAAAGCACTTTCCCCCCAAAGGCTGGCTCTCTGCCTCCCCGGGTCCCATGGCGCCCAAACCACAAGTCGTGACTCATGGTATCGCGGGAGTCGCGAGCTGGACGGCTGAACGAAGCGGACTAAGCGATGGCGGCGGACGACGGGCGTGGGACCTCTACTTCAGAACCGTTGTTCGCGGTACCAGCGAATCTGTCTACCGTAATATCCCGAGGGATAGCCCACCTAAAATCAAGGGAAAATTAGGTAAAAATAAGGAGTGGGCTAACTTTCAGTGTGCAATCGAGTAAAGTTTAAAAAATGCTATTTTTAGATTATCCGTCTCTGTCAAACATGTTATTGTGGCGAGGAGCAATGTAGCAAAGATGACTAACATTCAGTCATCAATGTTCGCTTATATCCCGCCACAGCTAACTAGACGCATTTATGCCAAGGTCATCATTCATCCGAACACTATGATTACTAAGAGTGGGCTATCTTTTGGCGTTGAAAAAAATAGCAAATCAAGACAAGCCAAAAATAGGGGGCGGGTTACCTCTCAGGGGTGGGGCATGTGTCGCGGTTTTACGGTAGCTTCGAAAGAGATATCTTTTACCGATCAAAACAATTAGGATTTATTCTGTTCGCTCTTGCCCACATCCTCGAGCGGTGAAATGAGTCAGGTGATGAAAAGGAGGCGGCTGATTGGTCCGGCGAGAGCATAGCTCCCATAGCAGTCTGAGCTTAGTGGTGAATGGAGTATGGTCATGCTCTATCCATCATGAGAAGTTGTGCTAAAAAGTACTTGTTATTTTACACTGAAAGTACATTGCATTTATAGTACTTTACCCGACGTACATTGCACCCGGTGCACTCACTACTTTACTCTAAGCACATAACCTCTCACTTACTTTGTACTTTACTTCAAGTACTTTTTAAATGTACTTGACCCAACATTGCTCCTCCGTGTATTCTTTCTCTACCTTAGCGCTTTCGCGCTTTGTAACGTTCAAACAACTCGCCCATCAGATTATTTTGAGGACGAATACTTCCCTGAAGACACTGCTCACATTCAAAACATCTTATGTCCTGGAAATTCATTGGGATATCAAGAGGTTGAGTCGCAGATCGAGACGAGAAACTGCACACTCAAATCTGACGCAGTCCGCCAGTGATGTTGGAAGTGCTTGGGAGATAAAGGGGGAATGAAGTGGGTGTAATGGCAGTGGGGAGGGGGGGGGGGGGGCTGATGGGTTACCTCACTTTTGCCCTCCATAAAGCAAAATGATTGATTGGTCCTAGACTGACTTAGTTTTTAAAAGGCTGCGGCTGAGTGTGTTAGCACAGCGTAGCTTGAAGCATGTGAAAGGTAGCTCTGCAGAACCCAGGGACACTGGATTCAATCCCCACCCCTGCCTGTTTTGAACTGGATGAGCGTCGTAACGGCATGAGTTTGTGTATTACTGCTGCGTGGTGCATGTTTAAAGCCCCAGGATAGAATCTAGCTACATTTTTCGTCTACAGGGTAAACGAGTGTTTCTAACTTCAAAGGCAGGGAGACTTCATGCTGTCTAAACACAAAAGTCTAAATTGCTTCTTTTTTTTTTTATCTAAACTTGCATTTTTGTTTAAGGTATGTTTTATTTAGCCTTGAAAAGTGAAGCGTGCCACGGGAAGCCATAGACCAAGGAAGTTGACTAGCTACCTTACACCTGCATCGCAAGCTCCTTTGACAACACAACAGAAATATAAAAAAAAAAAAGGTAAAAAAAAAAAGAAAGATGTGAAGGAAGGATGGGATTTTAGACGCTTTGAGAAAACTTTGCAAGCTGAAAAAGCTTTAAAAACAACAAGAACAAAAAAAAGGAATGGTGCAAAAGAAGGAAGCCATTGCGTGGCGTCCCTGGAAGCTTGAGTTTGAACTTAACGTCCATCGCATTCCTCATAAAACGCAATTCTGCATGTGACGGCTTTATCGACAAACCCCAATATAGCTGCTGCACATGTTTTAAATGTGGGTGTCCTCACTCCGAGTTTTTCTTCAGTTAGCATGGTTAAAGCTCGTTCACACACTAGCATTTGACGGAGACAAGACCGGTTTTTGAGCCTCTTGTGATGGCTGACGACCGGCTGCGCAGCAATGCAGTCGGTCATAAGCTGTCACAAGAGGCTCGAAAACCGGTCTCGTCTCCATCAGTCGTAGTCAAATGCTAGAGTGTGAACAGGCCTATACAGTCGAGACCGGTTATAACGAAGACAACGGGAATCGAAAATCATGTTACTATATCCACTATTTCGTCATAACCGACTTAGTTATAACCGGTCTCCACAGTACAGAAGATCAAGAAGAGGTAACCACAACCTTCAATCCAACTTTGCAGATCAAAGGGAGTTTTAGAATAACGTACGCAATTTCAGCGCACGCCAGCGCTAAATTTAGTGCTTGTGTTAGCGCACGCGATGCGAGAGAGTTTTAGAATAGCGTTTCTCTGTCGCAACGCAAAAGCCCAACCATCTCGCGCTTGCGACGCCACCAAGATACAGTCAATTTTTATTTCACACACAAAATGCTGTAACTTTAGAAAGAACAAGCTTTTCAGTCCAGAGTATTATTTTAGATTTGTTTAACATGAGAATGTGACGCGAGCGGTTGACCGGTCGTGTCCGCTTGCGTCGCCTCGGCAAGAGAGGTCTCGTGTACTGACCTTCGCACATCGTACCTTCACCGAGAGAAGTTCGCATGTCACAAGCATTAAGTTGCCTGTGATCGATGCCAAACCGAGTACAATGTCATCCCGTATTGAAAATCGCAGTCGTGAGGATGCCGCCGACGTCGCATTCACGATGCCACCAAAGCAGCCGCCGACATAATTCTGGAAGCCGCCATTTTTTTAACTCTGCTCATCTTGGCTTTAGCCAACTTCTCAACATGAATCCCCCTTGGAGAAGCGCAAAGACTCTTTGCGTTCGCACGCTATTCCCGAGAAATAGCGCACGCTAAAATTGCGCACGCAAAGCGCAAAACCTGGTTTGCGTTTGGAGCATGCGCAGTGGCGACGACACTATTCTTTGCGTACGCAAAGCTTTAGCGTGCGCTATTTGAAAACTCCCTTATGTCTATTGATGAGCTGAACAGGATGGCCTTCCAACTTTAAAATCCCCAACGGTGCATGCACACTGAAGTACCTGACTGAGCTAAGAAAACTTGCCATCACAGAAAGTTTGTCAAAAAATCAGTCAACCATAACACACTTTATTAGAAAAAAAAAGGTAGGTCATAAGGGGGATATGTCTGCATCTCTTTCTTTGCACGTTCAATATGTTTGCATGATTCATATAATTGTTACGATCACGTGAGGCTCGCAATTGCAAGGTTTTAATGGACTTGTCTAAAAAATAATTAAAAAAAAAAAAAAATCGAAAAAAAAAAAAATTTACTTTCAGCCTTTCCATTTTGGTGAAGAAGGGAGACCAGCAAAGCAGTACTTTGATGGGAATGAAGTAATGGCCGGCCGCAAGCCGGCAAGTCAGAGTGGAAAGACTGGACAGCTATCGCCATCTATGAACGACAGTAGCAACCAGACGATTGGCAAGTCGGTTGTCTGGTTGCCGCCGTCGCTCATAGATGGCGGTAGCTGTCCAGAGTCCAAATACTCGGGAAACTAGCCCTTAACAGCTCCGCTGTAAAAGAACATTTCATGCACAAGCAGCAAGGAAGGCCTTAAATATTTCAAAGATACCATACTCTAACGTTTTAAAAGGTTGTTGGTTACCAAAGGAGTTCAATAATGATTAGAACAGAGCTACACACTTGCTACCTTGCTACATTTTTGGTTTCCTCTTAACAGTGTCCTCAAGAACTAACCTTTAGGTGCCAGGTGAATTCCCTGGATCGAGGTCATCTCGTGGGCTGGCCGCTCTTCGATGGTGATCTCCCTGCCCGACGCTGTGCGGGCGTCCACTGTGGTGGTTGGTGCGGCCACGTAGAAGGGAATGCCATGGTGCTTGGCACAGATTGCCACTTGGTAGGTGCCTGTTAGGTGCAAACAGAGAAATGAGAATGCATGTCCTCAAACTTTTCTGTCTCGAGGGACCCATACATGCCTCGAGTGGCAGCTGAGGAACCCTTCCAAGTCTCAGCTATAGATGAAATAAACCAGTGCAAAAGCACCTTGTAAGAAAAAATTAAACAAATTAGGGAGCGTTTGGCTTACAGTTACATATCTATGGCTGGCTCAGATTTGCTAGAATAGGACCTAAACTAAAAGAAGCACATACTTAATGGCAGAGACGGTCAAGGAAATTTGGAGGCTCAGGGAACCCATGACAATGTTTTGGGGATATTGGAACTCTGTTTGAAAACCCATGGTTTGGACATTGTTTACAGGCTTCTTGAGAAAGTACAAAAACACACTGTTCAGATGCCCTCTCTATATGTTTTATGGAAGATGCCAGACGTCATTGTCCTGAGTGTTTTTTGTGTCCCTGCTAGGACACACACACAGGATCAATTGTGTGCCAATAGGCTACTGGGTGAACTTCTTTCTCTGTCTTGCTACTCCTCAGGCAGGCCAGAGCAAAACAGACTAAGCGGATTAGTATTCATCGCCAAGGGATAATAAAATGATGTCTTAAGGAGAGTTCCGTAGAGACTCTTAAGCACCGCTACGTTTTTGAACAAAGATTAAGGGTGTATGCATATTCAAAGCTATGAATAATTTGCAAATAGTGCTAGCTGCTAGATTTAAATTGCAGCACCCTTTTTCTGTTCAGAGTATTCAAGTTTTTCAAATATTAGAAGATTACAAATAATTCCTACAGAATTCCTTAATTTCTCCCATCAAAGTTTGCCACTTGCATCGGTGCTCTCAGGACAGGCGCATCTGCTTATAGCTGATTCACATGACGAACCGAATCGTGATTTTCGTCCGCGGACCATGTACTATGGACCGGCACATCACCGATTCCTGCGATCTGCACCACGACCGCAAACACGTGGACTGATTAAGTCGAGCGCCTTTTCACTTGCAGAGTTTTGCCGGGTGATTGACATGAAAAGCGTTCAGTCAGGCTACAGTGCACTGTTTTCTTGTTTGTTTTTTTTGTTTTGTTTTTGGACAACTAAAAAAACAAGAATGGCGCATCGTTGTGTTTTGTGCATTTGCTGGTTCATTTTGTCACGCGATTCTTGGTTTTACGCATGAAAAAAACTGCAGAAACTTTGTCCGGCTGACGCAACGCAGGTTCCAGTACTCCTCCGGGTCCGTGTCAAGAGGCTCCCGTCAAACGTCGTCTAGCACGCCGCAATAACTCTTGCTCGTCCAATCAGGCTTTCATCGAGCAAGACCTTTCTTGTGGCTGTGGGGTACTTGAGTGTTGTGCACAAGCGCAGATAGAGTGAAAGCATCTCCAAACGCCCCTCCGCGAGTTTAGAACATCGTTGCTTCTACGCCGAACCCTTCTCGAGCAGGACCATGCCTATGTCACTGTCATGCCTTGGGTTCGTAAAGCTAGTGGCGCTTCGTGCGAAGCCTATCACAGTGTTTTGTCTCGATCTGTATGCAACAGCGGCGTACGATTCTTTATCGCGGTAGCAAACGTCAATTTCTCTCTTGGACAATGGTGTCACGGTGTAATGTTGGAGTTTTGCGGCACTGAGGGGTGGCGAACAGGTTTGGTTCGTCCTCGCTGGCGTCTGCTCGTCGTTTCCCACGTGTGGATGCACCTGGGAAACGGACGAACCGCAAATATGTCATCACGTGATCAAACCGTCCGCGGATCAGCTCGTCATGTGAATCAGCTATTAGCATCAACGCAAGCATGTCAAGCTTCCTTGCGTTACATGGGGATGTTCCGATAAATGGTTCACGTGGTGAAGCATCTCAGTTGGTTCGGGGGGCTCCAAAATTTTGCCCATTATTTTATTTCAACCTCCTTTAAAGGGGTACTCCAGCGAATTCTTTATGGTCTCCGATTTTGTTGAAATTTTGCCAAGCCCGCCAACAAACATCGTTAAAATAGAATCCCAAATATTAGGTCAATATATTTTATTCGCGAAGCCATCGAATTTACAGTTTTGGTCCTCATCGAGTTTTTCAAACTGAAAGTCTCTACTGGCAACAACGAAAGAGTGACGTCAGTGGAAGGCAGGAGTTCAGTCTTTGAACTGTAGAACTTGTTCCCAAATGATTCAAAGCAGTTTCATGGTGTCAAATGAATGCTTTGGAAGCTCGCTCCAGTAACCGCGCTCCAGCACGAAACAAATTAATTGCATATTCTATTTTTTAGGCTGCTTGCTCTACTGGCAAGCCTGCCTTCCACTGACGTCACGGCATTGAAAAGTGTGGCTATATTTAAATGTTGGTTTTTGCATCATTTTCATTTGCAGATTTCCCAAGAACTATTATGAATTTCGCGATACTAAATAGCACACAGGAACAGGTAAAGGCCGGGGAGTCAGAAAATATGGTTAGTTGAGGTAGCTCAAAAAATTGCCGGAGTACTTCTTCAAAGGGGCCCCGCAATCATATTTAAGCGTCTACCTTTTTTGCGGTTTCCACGTCTCTCGGGGTTTGGGCAAGCCAGCGGGCACGGAGAGAGTAACTAAATATTAGTGCGTCATATTGTAACCGGACGACGCGGATACCTCCTCCACCTACGGGGGCGACCCGCGTTGCCGAAAGCGCACAATATGTGACGTCTTTGGTCCTGGGCTTACTACGGGTCAGAATTGCTAAAATCTTTCTTTTAGTCATGATACAAAATATAAGTGTCGCGAATTGTTTTAATTATGTATGAAAGTAGTTTTGTTCAGTATTTTAGATCAGAAAAGAAACAAATGCAGTTTATAAAGTAAGGAAACAAGAAATGAACTGTCAACATACCCGCCACCAAGCAGCGGAAAAAACGGCGCATACTAGAAAGGGCTAGTGGGATGAGGCGCCAATGAACGGCGAGCGTAGAAAGGTCCCGGATGTACGCGGGGGCGCTGGAGTCATATACCGGCTCGAGGATCCGACCAGTTCCGAGCGTTCTGAAGGCTTTCGGCGCGGGCTTGGCTGGCGATTTTGCCATTTGGCAGTATGGCAGCGCGAAGTGGCTCCCGTTCTGAACTGATCTTTACCTCGTGTTTGCTGTCGTTTCTGGCCAATGAAGTGTTATGCCGAATTAGTTTTTAATCGTGCCGCAAATGCAATGCGAGCCGCCCTGGCCGCCCACTTCATACAGCCTATCCAGCACGTGCTTTAGTGGCGCCCTCTCGAGCCGTTGACACGCAGTGCGGCAGCCGTGAGCGCTCGATGAGCTCACTACTCCTCCTCTAGTTCACGGCCACTCAAGCCAGGACCTACGACGTCATGAAGGAGGTTATTTTTTGCTTGTTTTAGTAATTCTAATTTGCCTATAACTTTTAAAATAAAGCAAAATTTTGTTAAAAGAAAAGTTTCATTAAGTTACTACATTCAGTGCGCTCAGGATCGGTGCAAATTAAAAACCAGTCAAAAAGTTGGTGCAGGGCCCCTTTAAAGGCAGTGTTGAAAAAAAAGTAAATTAACAAAATAGTACTGGTGTGGTTGCACTGTTAAATCACATTCTGCCTGACTCGTCTTATCAGACTTTTTTTTATTGGAGTCAAGCATGTGGAATGTTTCTCATGCAATAAAACTGTATTTTAACAAGTACATTGGTTGAACGTTTTTTAACTGTGATTCATTATTCACAATAAATGTAAAATCTCCATATTCGAAAATATTCTATTTAATTCACAGTAAAGAATTGAATACTCAAAATTATTCAATCTGATTCGCAGTAAAAAGATGTCTCACTGGTACACATCTAACAAAGACGGAAGGAGACGCCCTGACGGGGTCGACGGCCACTGACCAACTTTGTTGGCTGTGTCTCCGTTGGCCACAATGCGGTCGGCGCCCACCACGACGGCCGAGACCTCTCCCCGGGCCATGAGGGCGGCCACCATGCTGTCGCACACCAGGGTGGCCGGAATGCCGTCGTGCACCAGCTCAAAGGCGGTCAGCCGCGATCCCTGGTTGTAGGGACGGGTCTCCGTGCAGTAGCCTCGGTCCAGGCGCCCCATCTCGTGCAGGCTGCGCATGACTCCTGCAAGCGGATGACCGCCCAGATGCTGAAGAAGGGAGCTCGAGGTACCGCCGTAGGCGCATAATCAAGCCTTAGAAGTGGCTATTTGCATCACACGTGCGTCGGCAACCGTCGTGGCTTGCCGACGTGGCTACATCATGTGGCGGTGAGCGGGCCAATGAGCATGTGTGCCCGATTGCACGGATCATTCTATTGGCTGGCAGTTTGTGCCACCTAGTCGACAGCGACAGTAGGCAGCATGCCTTCCACCACCGCTGTCGGCTAGGTGGCGCAAACTGCTGCCCAATATAGTGTTGACTGCAATCTGCGCATGCATCACCCTATTTTTTCTACACTTTATATTTTTAACGCAGAATGTGTTTAAAAGGGTGCTTTGGCGTTTTGTTCATGGTCCCCGATTTGCCTGAAAATTTGCTAAACACACCAACAAACATTGCCAAAATAGCATCCCAATTATTGGCAAAAATAATTTTTCTTTGAGACATTATTGAATTAACTATTTGTGTCATCACCATGGTTTCCAAACTGAGAATCTTTACTGGCAACAACAAAAAAGTGACACCAGCAGCAGGAAGGGGTTCACTCTTTGGAGTGTAGGATTTGTTCCCAACTGATTACAAGTAGTTTTATGGTGTCAATGAAAGCTTCGAAAGCTCACCCCAGCACCCTCGGCAGCGCCAAAACAAATGCTTGGCGTATTTAATTTTTTGACTGCCTGCCACTGATGTCATGACACCGAATAGCGCAAGTATATTTGAACGTTGGGTTTGGCAATCATTTTCATTTGCCGATTGCACAATAACTCTTCTGAATTTTGCGATACAAAAAGCACGCCGGAAAGGGCTAAGGCAGGGATTTAGAAAGTGTAGTTTGATGGGATAGCTAAAAAAAATCACCGGAGTATGCCTCAAAGGGCTGGGATCAGTGAGAAAAGTGGGACAGATTGCCACAGAAATTGTTACGAGATGATTTCAGAGGACAACCTGTACAAAAGGGCCGCAAGTTGAGAAGAATGAAATTCTAAACACACCCACCCACACGGGAATTGAACCCCCGACCCTACGATTGTGAGTGAGCTCGACATTCTACCACATAGTGGGTACACGCAAAGCTCTGGTCTCTACGAAGTGTTCAAACGCAAACGCCGAATGCCAGATTTTCAAGAGTTTATAGAAGAAACAAGAAATTTAAGACGTGCCCACCATCACATAAAAAAGGAGAGAGTTTGAAATAAAATAACATGCTGTAACCAAAAACAAATAAAATAAACGCTGTAATGTCTATTACAAACCCAGAATTATGCGGTGGAAACACAATATGCATACCGCCTTTATGGGTAGCTCATTTGTATTTAAACCCAACAGGCCACTGTATGAAACCATAAATAAAATATTTCAGGGACTCGCTCATGGCCATTCTTTATTTCAGAAACACATATTTGCTGCATTATTGCCATGCTGAAATCGTGGTACTAAAGTGAAGAGTCCTTAATCCCATTGGGGGCACGGACCAAGCATTTACATTTGAACCCCAGCACATTCTCTTTTATGCCGGAGCGTGGCAGCTGGAGGAGATCCCGTCGAACACTGCATGAATTCGATGACGTACGATGTTATGGCATTTTCACCCTCTGGATATTTAAGCCAGAAAAGTCAAATGGGCAAATGTTTGGGTTGGGCATTCGTACCATAGTTAGTATCACCCGAATAAAAATGTACCGTGCGGTAATAACAAGGCCGACGCGAGGTACAGACGTCCGAGAAGCTGCCGAGTTTACGACGTTGCCAAGAGCCGGCACCTACCCAGGGCAGTGCCGTGACCGGCAGTGGCCAGGCTTCCCGTGTTGCAGTGGGTGAGCACCCCGAGGCCGGTCGCTCCCCGGGGAGGCTTGCAGTGAGCCAGCAGGTGCTCTGCTCCGTGGCGTCCCATGGCCTTGTTGGCGGACAGGTCTTCCGCCAGCATCTTCTCCGCTTCGTTGGCCAACCTGCAAACAGTCAACCGTACTTCCCAGTTCTATCGTGCCCGGAACACGTCTCCCCCTGGAGTCTTAACCTCGTCCTAAAAAGTGTTCCCACGATTTCCGCCCGATGAAGTCGTAGAAGTATCACATTGTTGCCAGCCACGATCCTGGCAGTGTCGCAGCAACGGCGGTGGATGTGGCAGACGCCTTTTCTGCTGCAGGTCGCTTTCCAGCTCCGGCCCTTTCAACACAACAAGAGCACTCCGGCTCTTGCGACATCGTTTGTTGCCACTTCGGAACCACTTTCAATGCACGTGCGGAATGGGAAAACGAACGCACCAGTCAGAGATGTGTTTTAGGCACATAGCCCCGGCATCTCCCAAGAATTCAAGCTCTCAGGAAAGTGTCCTCAAACATTCGTGTCTGGAGAAACTCCTAGGCATCCGAAATATTGGCCTGCAAGCTGGAAGTTCCGCAATATATTTGAATGTCTCTATTGTAGTGACTGATGGAGCAAATACATTAACACGGTGAAGCGAGGTTAAGAAGGCGCTTCAAACTGACAAAAGACATTTGAGGTACCCTAGTAAAGATGGGGCTGTAAAAAAGACTGTTTTTTTAGGAAAGAGTGATTTTAGTGTAGAGAGCTTGCACTATGTTTCGGCATCATTTTTTGTACACGATGAACAGACTGGCTCACACTCCCTCTTACCTGCTTCCGAGTTTGATTGAAGTTGTTCTTTGTGACGAGCAGTGGTTTATTACAAAGAGCCTTTTTACGAAAAATGACTCTGTTAAATAAAGTGAGACCTCGAACATCGGAACCCATAGGTTTGTAGCGTCCCAGCTACAGCACGCCTAGTCCAGTCCAGTTTGCAACATGAAAAAACTAGTAACTGAACCGGTATTTTATGTTATAGTGCAAAGTAAGCTCGAACAAAAAGAAACGGCACTAAACCTGAACAAAACCTGAACACAAGAGAACCAACTGTAGTTATAGGCACCGCCAATCCTTGCACCGCCGATCCAACCAATTCAACAACATTGATATATATGTGGAGTATATTGCATGCTAGAACATTACATGCTCCAACTACTTTGACGTAACGTGACATCACACAAATAGCTTGACGTGCAAATTCAGTGCGTTATGTGCCAGACGAGACACAAAATGTTAAGTTTAGCAGTGATGTGCCAGAAGTTCTACTCAGTGTCAGTGAATACTGTGTCAGAGTACCGCATTCCCATTCTTTAATGCTTTGCCGACAACGGTCTTACTCTCGCCGAGTATGTTTTGATTTTCTGTGGTGTCATTGCAAGGCAGCAGTCACGTGAGATTTGTGCCATCACGATCATCGTCACTGTTTGGAATCGCCGCCATGGGCCACCACATTGTGGCCAACCAGCTTTTACTGCAATACTCCGGGTCGCTTATCAGCCACTTAGTGCCGTGACACACATATTCTCAGGGAATCTCATCTTATTGTTCCGTATTTTGCAGCTCCTACATGCCTGCTTGCTGTGCCTTTTGGTGCAGAAGCAAATCACAGAACCCCTGGCACACATATTTTTAGAGAATCACATCCTAATGTTTCATATTTCGCGGCTCCTACATGCCTGCTTGTTGTGCCTTCGGCACATAAGCAGGTCAGAGAACGGCAACACTATTCCGCTTCCCGTCAGGCAAGAAAGCCACTGCGAAGAGGAGGAATACTTGGCTTGTCATTATAAAACAAAAGAATTCCAAGGCTAATAATGCAGGAAGCAAGCCTTCTGAGGTGAGGGTACTTCACTAATCTCCGCGTATCGCTCGTCGCCTCGCAGCCGATTAGGTTGCTTTGACCGAGCTTGGTTTGGCACGAACGATGTTTGGAAGAACGGCTGCTTCTGAATAAGAATTCAATTGCAGTGCTTTCTATTCAAACTGCTTCACTTTGCATGGCATGTAAAAACCAATACAAATAGTAGCTTTCTATGTATTGAAAGCATGAATGTCCGGGTGACTCATAACGCAATTTAAGCAAACACTCTTGCATCAACGGGCACTTGGACAGTTGTCATCAGAAATTTTTGTTGGTTACATTGCTGTTTTTATGCCTTAAGGCAGTGGTCGGCAACCAGCGGCCCGCGGGCCGGATCCGGCCCGCGAGGCAGTATCATGCGGCCCCTATACCCCCAGCGCCCCGCCCCCCCTTCCTTCTCCTCCTCCTCCTCCTCCTCTTCCCCAGCGCGGTCAGCTAAAAAAGAAGAAAAAAGTATATAAATTTGTCTAATTTGCTGCCCGTTGCCTGCCTTCACGAATGACTGACGAGAACCTCCACAATGTTTTGCGACTCGCAGTTAGTAGCTTGAATGTGGATGTCCTTAGTTTGTTGAGCGCAGTTCACCAGAAGTCTAAAGCACCGTTCACACTCTTGCGACCGAGTAAGACCAAGAGAGACCAGACCGGCTTTTAAGCCTTTTGCGACTTCTTAGAACCGGATGCGCTACAGCGGAGCTGGTCCTAAGAAGTCGCAAGAGGCTTAAAAACCGGTCTGGTCTCTCTCGGTCGTACTCGGTCGCAAGTGTGTGAACGGGACTTCACTGAAAAGAATCTCTAGGTTTTCGTGTAAATGTTGTATCTCATGTCGTCTGTCGTGAAATAAAGAAACTTCATTTTCGATTTATGTACGTCAGTGTAACTTCGTGCAAATGTTCTTTTTTTTTCTTTTTTTTTTAAACCCCCCCCCCTTTTTTCCCCCGCTGTTTGCCGTTCGGCCCGTTCCACCTTAGCTTCACGGCGACTCGGCCCGCCGCGCCGAAAGGTTGCCGACCACTGCCTTAAGGCACAAAAAAACAAAATCATTAATGAAGCCTTGACAGCACGATTTTAGATATGTATGTCACTTGATGCCCCGAGTGAAAAAGATGCATCTCGTTGCTCAGATATATGAATGATGACACAAACATCTCTGGTGTTTCCAGCTTAGAGAGTCATTGATTTTATATCAAGTCATTCTCATAACTCATGGTTGATTAAATTTGTCTGCATTAATCATTTGCAGAGATTGTGCCGACTGCCAACCGCTTTGAGAATTGTCATGGGGGAATCATTTGGGAACTTTGGAGCAAGCTTCATCTGGTCAGCACACCAATTGTCAAGCTATCACAAGAGCTTCAGACTGTCTTATTCTATTCTGTTGCTTTCCAGTTGATGCGAAGTATGCAGTGGTAAATAAATTGATGAAATGCTGCTGCGTTTTTACGACAATCTTTTGAATGCTCGAAAGACGGAAAAAAAATGCCAGCGGCTTAATGTGATGACGGAAATAGGCGGCTGTGCTCTATGCAATAAAGTTTGCCACTGCAACGGGAGCAAGGCACAGACCACCCTCATCGAATGAATTATAGGTCGGTCTAGACATTTAGACAGCGAGAGTGAAAAATCTCAAAATGAGATATTTGACTACCGTAATATCCCGAGTCATCGCCCACCCCCCTACCGCCTGAAATTCGTTAAAAAAGTGGGGTGGGCCATGTCTCGGTGGGTGAGCACAAACACTTGAAAAAAAGAAGAAAAAACCGCCTATTTTTCTCTGCGTATCTAGCCCTGATGCACAAGAGATACATCAAACTCAAAACTCGATTTAGTTTCATTGTTTTATAGAAAAAATGCTCACGAAAGAATATTTTGTCCGTTGCTTGCATACGCGCTAGAAACACCGCCGATCTGCATATAGCGCGAACGTTTGTTCCGTGAAAGAATGTCACCATTATGTTCTCCTAGTTAGTAAAAAAAAAAGAAAGAAAAGTCTACAAGAAAATAGAAAAACCGACCAGGCACAACGAGCAAGCGAGCGGACCAAAGAAGCGATCAAGAGCAATGCTGGGAAAGCGGGAAAGCCGGCGGTCGCGTTGGCAAATACTTTGGCGTCGGGCCAAGTCGGGCGCCTTGTCAATTGCAAGCTCTTGCGCAACTTGTTTGGTGCGTACATACGTGCGTCCGTGCACGGCGGGCTATCAAGGCACGGTTGGGACGCTCTGCAAACGTCTGTGTAGGACGTTCCAGCAAAGCTTTATTTACGCTTTGGCTTTGCCTAAAATATTGCACAACCGCGGTCGCGACGGGCGGGAAGAAGGAGCGGGTTCGCGGTGACCTTACTTCGGCGGAGACAGACTTTGACCTAACACTCCGCGGTTACGTTAACAAACTCTTATTTTGTTATCTCCATCGTTTTCTTTTCGCACGGATACACGACCACTTTGGGGTCGCTCACGGAGGAAATGCGTAAACAAAAAGAAGTGTCTTTCCCTTCTTCGTTTTACTTTGTCACGGACGTCCTCCAACTGTAAGGTCCGCGACCGCGTCATTCGGGTAGGATGAGTGTTCGCGGATCGCAGAGTCCGCGCTGGGGTATTTGAAGGGGTGGGCGATGACTCGGTGTTTTTTCGGAAATCGATATTGGCCCAAAAAATGGGGTGGGCGATGGCTCGGGGATGGGCGATGACTCGGGATATTACGGTAGTGCGGTACGACTGCTAACATGGGGTCTTTAATGTGAACAACGAAGTAATAATCACACGAGTGCAGCTAGACTGCAAAGTAAATAATGTCTTAAATGATTAATGGGAACTATCCACAGTGCCACACACTAACCTGAAAGGTTGTTCGACAACGCCAACGGCGCACTACACGTAAAGTTAGCGTCAGCTCAGCGTACTATGAGAGGCTCCAAAATGGCTGCACAGATATGGATGAATTTGAGCGCCACTGCGCAGGGCTTGGGAGTTTTGGCACTCTGGAAACCTACTCAGTGACTAGTTCTACCGACGCTGGGCACGGAATGCCAGGGTCTAGGATGAGAGAGTGCTAAGGGGCACACTGCAGCTCCCTCTAGCATGTGCTGTGCGTGCTCACATTTTGCTCGTGGACAGTAAACAACACACAATTCAACACGGCACAGCCACAAAAAAAAAACGGTCCAAAAGACCTGTTTCAAAGCATGCAGGAAGGAATGTCCGCGGTGAAAGCTGGAAGTTCAAGGTACGACCGGTTGTATCAGACGACAGAGGTGACCTCGGAGGTGAGGGCGAGTGGGCAAACAACTGTGCCACCCTCTTGCTCTCTTCATCCCAACATAGGGGCAAGAAGGGACATCACAAGACATCACGTGCGGCATTTTGGGATTTTTGAAAAAGGACTATTAATCCGTTAGTTGTCTTGGACGAGACCAGTCCGTCAACATAGAGCCGTCCTCAAACCATTTAGAACAAGTATAACTCGTCTGCTTTCCCTGGTTCACACACTCAGCCGTCTTGGACAGTTCAGGTTTACTCGTGACTTAGTTTGCGGCTCTACAACACATGGCAGCACCAATTATTTTAAGAGTTTGGTCCCATTCTGTTTGTTGCTAGATATTTGATCTTGAAGGTAACAAAATTGATTTTGAAGACTACAATTAAGCAGTTGAAGTTCAGAAATACCCCAAAATCAAGATACTGTTAAGAGGTTAAGGCACTCTGGGAATTGCAAGAAGCAAAGTATGCAGGCGAGCTGGTCAGGAGCCATCACAATCTAAATCCTAAGAAACAGAGAAACAAAAAAAGGGACGAGGCTTTGCGTCGTCTTTTTCTTCATTTTATTTCTCCGAGTCTCAGGGCGTAGATCATTATGACTCTGGGAATGTTGTTCTGACCTGTGCTTCATGTCCTGCAGGGAGACGGAATTGTCCTTCTCGAGCCGAGCCGCGAGTGCCCGTAACTCGTTGGCCATGTTGGCCAGGTTGACGGCTGTCGGGCGCGACGTCTCCAGGTGGGCCAGCCGTTCAGCCACGTGGCTGGACAGTTCCTGCTTGGAGGTCCACGGAGCCTTGTCCTCGTGCAGCTCACTGGCCAGGCTGAGGGCACCCACGATGGCAATGGCTGGGGCACCCCTCACCTGCCGACATGCGGGACGGGCACATTTGTGGACGGAATAGACCTTTTTCAAAAGTGTGCGCCTCTAGTAGCTCTTGCATCACTTACCTGAGCCCGCCATTGTTTGGGCACATAGTCTGAGCATATGTTGAATATGAGGGCTGCGTCAGCGTTCAGCGTGAGTTTGCCTCCGCTCGTGTCAGAGACGAGTACTGTAACAACGTTCGGAAAAGACTAGGATACAATCACACAGTTGTAACGTTTGCAGACCGGAGCAGAAGGTCAGGAGGCATCGGGGGTTTCATGACTGCCTGTCACGATTGTGGCTGCGGGAGTCACTTCTGACACCATGTATCCAACGGCATTTGGTTGATAAGATAGTCAGAGCGACACAGCCGGCTAGGTGAACGAAACTTGAAGGTTTGTTGGCATTGCTTATATAGCAGTCTACAGGGCAGGAGAGCGGGCACCACCAATGGTATGACAAAGCAACGCTTATGCTGCACCGCATGCAGGCTGCATAATACTGTATGACACACTGTATGTGGCTATTGGTGGTGCAACATGTTCTCCCTCTCATACATGCACACTCGGACGGAGTACCACACAGGTTGGCGGTACAAAAAGAAAACCACTATGCAGCAGGGGAATAAGAAAAGCTGGTGCAACTTAACACAAAAGAGGTAGTCTATTACGGATGCCTTTTGCCACTTGCACGTTAGTGTAGGGGAGGCACATCTTAACAGGAAGCACTGCTTAAAGGGATACTGAACTGAAATTGGGATTTCGCAAAATAAGGCCGCAGAAGCATTGAACGGGACGCTATGAACCCTCCATAACATCACGCATACATCAATATCTCAAACGGATGGCCGTACTCTTAAAAAAGAAAGGTGCGATCAAGCGAGATCTATGACGTCATTGTCCTCCTGGAGAATTTGAGAATGAGGGGAAGGGGCCTGGCTTCTCTCCTTCTCGCTTCGGCTCACCAGCTCAACGGGACGTAGCAAGAGGAGAGGGAATGAGAATCGGGATGTGACTTGTCTCGTTGGCCGTGTTCTATCACACACTTTTTTTCCTAAAATATGGTGATCTGTTAGAGATATCGCTGTATGAGTGATGTTTTTCGGTTTTGCAGCATCCAGCCTATCCGTTCAGTTTTGTTTTGTGAGCACGAAAGTTTGGTTCAGTATCTTTTTAAGCTCTCATTGAAGTCTTACAGTATCCACTGAAATAATAAAGAGAAGAACTAGTGAGAAAGGAGAACTCAACTTCTCAAACCACTTAGGCCTGGCCGATTACTGACAATTCATTTTAATCTGCAGTCTTATTTAACAAGAATTATTGATCTTTCCTTTACTCTAAAAGCCTTGATGTCAAAAGTTACCCATGTTTAATAACCTTAGAAAATATTAGCCCCTTTTGTAAGGTTTAAAATCAGCAAGGCCTTATTTCCTGATACTTTATCTCCTCGATGCCAAGAAATATGAGGCTGGTGCTATACCACATGCTATGATCAGAGACAGCCTATCAAGCAGCACCAAAATTGGAGCATCACAGCGTCTATGGGGACTATTCACCGGCAGTCATAGCTGAGCTCGCTGCTGCTTTCTTACCACTGAGGAAGAGAGAGAGGGGAAAGATGCTTTTTTACGAGTTTTGAGTGGAAAGTTAACCTTCTATAATCTTCTAGAGGGAGAATAGCGACGTTTGGGGAAGCCTGGGACCTACAAAGGAGAAGGCCGGTGATAAGAAAATTTCCTCTTCCCCTCTTCCTTTGCGGTTGCCCGAGAGCTGACGGGAAACTTTTCCCGCGCATGCGCAGTTACCTCAAATATGGCGTCCAGTGAATACCCCCTATAATGTTTGTTATACCCTAGTTACATGGGCACACTTAATGGCAGTATTGCTTAACCAAAATTACCACACTACACTCTTGGACAACTTTCTGTGGCCATGCAGTCAAAGCTATGGGCAGAAATGCTCTTGCATACCTTGAGTGCCCATCAAAGCTGTGCACGAACACCCTTCACTTCTTCTGAAATAGCTGTCTGAAAATCAGTGTTGGAAAGTACAGTATGTTTCCCAAATCTGGTCTTGTAAAATTTGTATCACAAAATGATGTTTCAACTCTGAAGAAATACTGGGATGGATATTCCGCTCCCACCAGAAAAGCAAGCAGACGATGCATGTTTGTAGTGGGGGCGGCTTTCCCTCAGCATTCCGAACTCTCGCTACTTGTCGCCCAGTCAGCGCAAGTGAGGAGGGCGCAAGCGAGGAGGATAAAAACAGGAGAGGACACTCCTCCACGAAAGTATTGCTTGCAGAAGATACAGGGCTGACGTCATGCCCTCTCCTGATATGTTGAACACCCTTGGGTGCAAGCCAGCCCAAGTGGTGCCAGATTTAGAAGTTGGAGGGACTACTGGAAATATTCACCTGAGACAACGTATACCAGTTAAACAAAAAAAACAAAACAAAAAAAGCACTACAGAAGAATGAAACGGCACCATGAAAGATTGTGCTAAAAGTACTTGTACTTTACTTTGAAAGTACATTGTATTTATAGTAAATTACTCCAAATACATTGCACCTCGTGTTCTTCTTACGGATGGTGCATTTGTTTTGTAAAATTTGCAAAGAGCGAACTTACCTGAGGAGAAAGTAAAGAAAGAAAAAGGCTGCCACCGGTCTTCAAACAACACGGCGCCGTTTCGCACGGGAGACAAGAGATGGCGCAACGAACGAGCATACGGCGCCGAGAGCCGGCGTCTTTAGCAGACAATCTTTTCGACTCAAAAGCGGTGCGCGTTCCGCAGGCGGCGACAGTCGCAGAAACAAAAACAGTCGCGGTAACAACAAGGAACTGCAGTTCCTTGTCTGCTAAAGACGCCGGCTCTCGGCATCGTATGCTCGTTCGTTGGTGGCAGTTGGCGTCGCGACCACTTGCGCCATTACTTGTCTACCGTGCGAAATGGTGCCGTGTTGTTTGAGGACCGGTGGTATTGCTGCGTTTCCATAGTAGCTAAGCCTTTTTCTTTCTTTACTTTTTCCTCAGGTAAGTTCACTCTTTGCAAATTTCACAAAAAAATGCACCATCTGTGGGCAACGCCGCACGAAGTCGTAGCGCGATAGGTGAAACCGAATTTTGCGGTTGATTTAAAGAGCCTGGCGTCTCCTTGAATCACCCTGTACTTTACTTGAAGTACATAACCTCTCATTTACTTTGTACTTTATTTCAAGTACTTTTTATATGTACTTTTTAGTGTTTTCACATGACGTCTTGTTTGCTTTTTCCAACATAATTATTGATTTGAAGGATTACATTGCAACTTCGAGAGGAGACGTCAGCGTGGTGAGACTTATAAGCTTGTGTGCACTACGGCTTTGAGGGTCCATGTAAGCCCTTGGAATGCTCGCCTTTGGCACAAGCAAGACGGTTTATAACAAAATGGTCGCCGAAATTACGTCGGTGAAAACCATCAAACGAACCAATCAAATGCAGTGAATGCACTGTGACTTTTCCCTTTTAGTATGTGCGTTCATGTTTGTATCTGTCCCAGTGCTTCACTCCGCGTGAACTTCCAATGAAGCAAAGTACAGGATTCCTGACCTTCATGGACCGGATGACTTCCCAGCCAGCATCTGTATCCTTGACAGGGAGGTAACTGCACACATGCGGCAGCTGCAGCTGATCCAGGATCTCCAGGTGGCCATTGCGGTACTTGATAGCCTGCAACATCGCTGAGCCCCCGCCGGAACGCACTTACTAGTACGGCAGGTAGAATTTGGTAGAGACAAGGGCCGAACAGCCATCGACACGTCGTCGCCCTCATCCAACCCCACAGAGAAGAGGCCACCACAGGACGCGTTGTGCAGGCGAAATCGCGCGCTGGCCGTAAACGTGCCACATTAAACAAATCCGAGACCCGTGTAGGTGGGTTATAAAGAAAAGATGTATATTAACGATCAAATTTGAGGTATGCGTGGATACACTGGCAAAGCAGCTTACCTGTTTTGACTTCCAGCCGCTCGGATGTTGTATATGAGAGTAAACTGCAGATTAACCAAGCACGATAACGATGATAAACGAATAGCTGTCGCTGGCTGGTCGCACCTTAGGTAAAACACGAATAAAACACTGAATAGAGACAAATGTTAATAGCAGCCTGAAGCACTTCGCTGACTGGGCGACCGAATAGACCGAAGTTCGCCGGCAATCACCGCGTCACGAGTCACGACGGCAACGACGACGATAATGTCGCTAGCAATGTAACTGAACCAGCTAGACGCTCAACCACAAGTTTATGTAATTTAGTTTCGGTTTAACATTTTCTTGCGTTAGCCCAGTTTAATAAATTCCTAAAATTAATTCCCATATTTGCAGTTTTAATCCACCGTGATTATGTAGAAGTTATTTTAAAGCCTGTCCCCAAATTTTAGCGTTTTTTTTTTTTTTTCATCGATAAAATAAACTGCACACATCGCCGAACGCTTTCTCTATGAAAAAAAAAAATGTAGCACTAACGGTCCGAACCCTAGTCCGAACCAGATATCAAAGTGAACAAAGTTTCGGAACTAACTGTTATCGCATTCAAAAGTTATAAGTTACACTTTCAATGGGAGGATAAGGCTGGTTTTCGGTAGCGCTCTCCATTCAGCTCTTTAGTACAGCTTACCATTCTTACCAGTGAAAATTTAAGAAAATCACTTTTAACTTTGAATAAGATAACCACTGCGATTCCCCGCTCAGCGAGTACCACCGGACGGTCATATTGCATGCGGCGAAATTGCGTTTTCGCTAGCGTTGCAGAGGCTGGCTGTAGTCTGCTGAATACACGTTTTCTACTCGTTCGTCATCATTCCCCCAAAGAAGTTTCTTAAAACCCTTTGTAAGCGGTGAGACTTGCCGTTAAAAACACCTGGAAGTTTTTACGAAAACGCAGTGTCGCAGGAAATAGAAAAAAACTCGTCGAAAACAAGTTTGGACGATCTCGCTGCGTGATCAAAGCTCCCCTGGCGCGCCAAAGGGGCGGTTACAGAACTCCGTTTTTGGGGGGGCGGAAAACTTTTATGGATACTATTCTCCCATTCTTTCGCTCCCGTCGCCCCCCCCCCCCCCCCCCCCCCCCCCCCCCCCCCCCCCCCCCGCTTTGCGATCCGCCACTGGTTAAAAACACCTGAAGTTTTTACGAAAGCGCAGTGTCGCATGATGAAAAAGATAAAACTCGTCGAAAACAATTTTCGACGATCTCGCGGCGTGATCAAAGCTCCCCTGGCGCGCTGAAGTGCTGCCTCTATTTGCCTTCACACGCTTGGACACAGATCAAGAAACCACGCCGCGCCAAAGTTTTCAAAGTGTGTCGCGCGTAGCTGCCTTTGCATCACACCTCGGACACGGAATTCCGGATCGTCCAGCTGTTCCAGCAAGTTGTTATAAGTTGTTATCAATAAAGCGGGGGGTATTTGTACGGTTGCTCTTATGCACTTTTAACCATGGCTTCGCGAAAAAAATAGGCCGTATTTTTGTTTTTTTCGCGAAGCATGTGGTGTGCCACGGCCGCTCGATCCTGGGTCCCGCTCTGTTGAGAACGGCATGCCGAGTGACTTTTAATGGCGGGGCAAACGAAAGTTCTCGGAGCGGCCGCAGTGAGTGGTGTGAACATGTACGTTGGCGATGAACTAATGGGATTGGCGCGAAGTTCGAGCAAAGCAAAACGCACTGCCCGTGCATTAACTACCTCGCGATTGCGGCGTGTGAACTAGGCACAAAAGTAAAGTTCTTTTCTTTCTTCTTTTTTTTTTTTTTGCGTGAATCAAAGCTTGTAAAAAGTTACGTAACGTCATCACACTCGGACGGCGCCAGAATGGTGAGTTGGGCTATACTCGTGTTCACCTTAAAAACTGAGTACAAAAAAGAGAAAAAGCTCGGCCACATCACGGAACGTTACTAATTCCCCATCTTCATGTGTCGAATTAAGATATATGTAGCCACCCACATCTTAGATGGGCTTTATGTTTTGTCAAGACGTACGCGCTTGAAATGCCAAAAACATATCGTGTCTTCCTTCGACAACCAAAATGTTGTAGAAAGTACTTTGCGCAGCGCTTGAATAACGAGCAAAATTTCATTTTTCCTAATATTACAACGAGTATACTGTCGAGACCGGTTATAACGAAGTCGGTTATAAAGAAATAGCGGCTAGAGAGAAGCGATCACGATTTCCCATTCCCCTTCGCACTTCGTTAACCGACGGGTTGTTCGTTTTCGGGTAAAACCAGATTTTACCCGATTTTTACACCCCGAACATGTTTCAGAAGAATCGGGTTAAACCCGATTTCTCCCCGAATTCCAAAGCCACATAACCAACCCTTTTATTTTTACGCCGCACGGAGTTTGTGGTGCGCACACGCTAGCTACCCTACCTCGGGACAACAGTGGCCTATGGTTGTTAATTTCGCAAGCTGCGTGCAGCACTGTGGACGTTACACGACTCTCACCCAACCGCCCAACGAGCGCGCCTAACTCACCGTGACATTCTACGGAAGGCGGCTGAGGTAAAGCGACAATAGGCGTTGGGGCTTCGGAGGGACATTTCCGTCCCCCTGCTCTGCAGGTGGAAGCGCTTCGGCACGCCACGTAGCTTCGGCCCTGCTGCACACAGCTTGTGAAATGCACTATCAATCCCCCTTCTACAGCCGAGGTGTCGACGCCCAGCAGGGTCTCTCGAGTAGCATGGCCATCTCGCTGACGTCCAACCCTTCTGACGAACAACGTCCGAGCCAGTCGGTCGCGTAAAGTGATCGGGAAAGTTTAACAGGTTTATTTTTTAGCTAAATATCTGATCGAAGACGACCGTCTCTCAAACGGTCGGGGTCTTTGTTGACACCTGAGGGAAAGGAGGATTCTGTGGGAGGTTCTTCCTTTGAAGCGACCGACGGCAATCGGAGCTGGAAAACACTGATATTCCCCAGATTACCAGCTTGAAACAGACCCCTAATTTTAACGTTAGTAATAAAAAAAAAAAAAAAAAAAAAAATGTCATAATACATTTTGCCTAAAAAAAAAACAAAAAACGATTGTATTACTGAATACATTTGTAAATTTAACCCGAAAAAAAATCGAATTTCGTAATGTTTCCACAAAAAAAAAAAAAAAAAACGATTTCTTCCCGATTATCAGCTTGAAAAATAGCACCCGATTTTTACTCCCCGAATTTAAAAAAGTATAAACCCGAAAACGAACAACCCTAGTTATAAGGAAATAGCAGATATAGCGAAGTGATTTCCCGTATCCATTGACTTTGTTATAACCGGATAGTTAGTTCGCAACGTACTTAAGCACAAAAAAAAAAAAAAAAAAAAAAAATTAACAGGCACAGGTTATGGATTGACGACAACACATGCAGCGAACTCAGATTATCCTTCGACACATTCTCTGGACAGGGGACCCGTCACCCGGCCCAACGCTGACGGAGCTCCCATCTACAACTTGTGTCTGGTCTCAACCTCACTGTGCATGACATCGAAATGTATCGTGCAGGGGCTTCGATTATTCTAGACAGGTGTCTATAACTTATTCGGGTGTAAGGGCCAGATAGCCCACCCCCAAAATGTGGAAAACCGACGTAGAGCCGGGAGATAAAGGAAAAAAAGCCGTAGAAGAAGAAGACCAGACACACGCCGTAGAAGAAAAAGAAAAGGACACTGCTCCTCAACGGCCATAGCCGTAGTCACCCCTAAAGAAGAGGCCGAATTGACCTTGAAACGTTGGGTCCCTACAGAAAGGCTTGGTTGGTGTTCGAATTTTTTAATATTAATTACTCCCAACCAGACAGATCTCTGTCAAATGTTTACTTTTAAGGCAATTCTTGAGTGTTAATGGCATTTCTTGATTGCTAGACACCCGAGTTCATAGCTTTGTCTTCGGAAGTTGCTCCTTCTGAGTAATAGTTCGTGCAAGAAAAAATTAAAACAAAACAATGCACTGTCAAAAAAGAAGAAACGGACTAGAGAAAATTATGTGAGCCCGTTCTAAGAGCAGAGCTTCGTTTAGACTCCAGAGCGTAAATGAACCGATGACATGAGGCCATCGGGGATTTTTAGCAAACCGTTACCGTGCTTTACGTACTACAATACCGGAGCCTTTGAAGCGCGCGCCCGAGTGATGCCGTGTCCACGGGGCGAGCTTAAAAGCATGATTCAAAGGCTCCGGTAGTGCGGTACGCGGAACATGGTAACGGTTTGCCAAAAGTCCCCATTGATTATGAGGCAGCTAGCGCTTCAACATAGGAACGGGTTCGTGGGTGGCGGAGAAAAGCTCACCGGAGATAAGCTCACCGGAGAAAAGCTCACCGGAGAAAAGCTCACCGCAAAACCGGCAGATGCGGAGAAGAGCTCACCGGCCTTTGAGCGGATACGGAGAAAAGCTCTCCGAATTTTTTTTTAACTTAGCGGATTCTGCGTCAAACGTGGCAATTTAACACAATTCGCTTTCGTCACTTCATTAAAAATATGTCCTCTTTCTTTGTAATATTCTTAAAGTTGATTGGGCATATTTACTAATTCCTCAGAAATTAGTAATCACCCATTCTGTATATCACTTAAGCCGCAAATATAAAATAAGAATATCGAACACTGGTAAGAAAAGACAACAATTTACTGACAGCTGACGGTGCCCTTCCGTAGCTCTGTCAGATAAATCCGATAAAGAGGTTTGTTCTTTGCGAGCTATAATGAATAGC